GACTAGCTGCCTCTAAGTCTACTAGGAACAAGTAGAAGGCAGAGACCTCTACCTCTNAGTTCTATTAGAATAAGCAGCTACTTCCACCCCATTATTCTAACAGCTTAGAATTATACTAAATAAACCTATTAATATAGTTCTTATCAATTTTCTCTCTACTATACTCTTAGAGTAGTTCTCTCTTAGCCTTAACTATTAAACGCCTAGTAATAGTCTTCTCTTCTAGTTTTATTAGGCGCTTAGTTAGTAGTTTATAGTTATATTAATAAGGCTTTTTATTACGTCGCTATTATATTATCTATCTTAGCATACTATAGACTAATTTAACGCGCCTTAGACTTAGATTTTCGCGTTTTTATAGATTAGAGATAGTAATAGTAATATTAGCTTTAGTATAGATCTTTAGAGTTTAGTATTATTAAGATATTACGCGTTATTATCACGTAGGTAATGTCACGGCGCTGTCTAACATAGCAGCGGACCGGCAGCTTCTAGGTGCCTAGCGAGGCTGGAATCCCCCGGGTGGCCGTTAGGGCTATAGCGCCAGCGAGGCAGCTAGCGCGTATTCTTCTAATTAGCTACTAGTAGATTCTAGGTGCGGGCCTAAGTACCTAGATTCTATAAAACTATAGCACTATAGTCTAGAGAGCTCTTTAAGCTACGTTCTATCTTCTACTCTTACTATCTATAGTAAGAGCTTATTAATTAGCTATAGTAATAGACTCTATATATATACTTATTCTTTTTATCTATAAATCTAAACTATAATATTACGTAGCTTCTCTTTATAGATACGCGTATTATATTACTATAAACTACCTTAAACTACTCTACTTCTCTAAAACGCCTAAAAAGCTTACTACTAGCGTAATAGTATATTCTAAAGAGTAGTTAATATATCTTTATAATACTATTTAGTATTTCTAGAAACTTAAGAAAAACTTTATTACGTCTTAAGAGTATAAATAGTCTCTATAAATCTAAGTTAAGAAGAGAGAGGCTAATATTTAATACTAGAAGGAGTAGTTAGTAGCTAACTAGAAATAGATTACTTAACTTAAGATTAAAAAGACCTAGCTTACTATAGCGGCTATATATATACTACTAATAATCTCTACTATTACTTTATTTTTCTCTATCTCTACTACTATTACTAAGACTACTATAGATAATCTAGCAGAACTATCTACGCCTACTACTCTTCTAAGTTTCTAAACTTCTAGCCTTAGTAAGAGAATACTTAACCTAAAGAAATTTAATAGACCTTAAAGCGATTTATACTAATTTATCTAGTAGATTTATAGTAAAATAAATATAAATATAGACTAATTTCTATAAGCTACTAGATATATACTATATATAGTAAAATATCTTACTAGAAAAATATATATATCAATACTACTAAAGATCTAATATAGAATTCTCTAGCTTATTAATTACTTATAGATACTAAAGTACTTAGAAAGAGTATTTAGTAACCCTAACTATATTTAGAATATCTAGAACTATCTTTTTTAATAGAAGTAGAAGAATCTAGACTTTACTATTTATTTATTAAAGTTCTAAAGTTTAGCCTTAGAAGTAGAAATACTAGAGAGTATACTACTTCTTTTATTATTCTAAGAGATCTCTTATAAACTCTAAGATATACTTCTCTATTATAATAGCGCAGATAAGACTACTTAGATTAATATTAGTAGCAGTGTTACTTAGAGGTATACAGAAGTGCGTAAGATATCAAATAAGCCTTAATTTAAATAGATATTTATAGACCTTATATAAAAGAATATGAAAAATCTACTTAATAAGCTATTATAGTAGTTAGGTTTATACAGTCGTTTTTCCTACTAGGCTGAATCGTACCCTAGTTCGGATCCTGTTCGGATGTATGTAGGAACGGGTGCTGAGCCGTTACAAACCCGTGTGATGCACGAACCCGTGAGGTACGTTATCTCTTCTTTATATATAGACTTTCTCTTATAAACTCTAGATATAGTAAAAACAATTTACGTACTTAAGTTTATTTAATTATACGCTATTATAGTAACTAGTGCGAAAGCGTAACAGATAGTGATGCGAAATAACTATTCATCTATCGACATGTTACATTGTATGATATAGTCGATGTACTAGCCTCTATTATCAATAGACTAGTAAATAGGTCTCTAATATAAGGGTCTGGCGCTCTAGAGGGCAATCGCGGAGTATATAAGAGGTTGTATCTGATAAGGAGCTATCTACTCTATTTGCGTGATGTTTATTTACTTATTGGAGAAAGGGTATGGCGAGTGTCGGAGCGCTGCTCGAATGGTAGGCAGAATGCAGCTCCTCTAGGCGACGCCTAGATTCTACGCTCGCAATCTGAATGTTGTTCGGATGCTGCGCGTGTAAAACCCGAAATTCCATCGAGGAGCTATTCAAATGGCGTTCACCCCGTTACAAGAAGTACTCTCCTATGTGCTGTTGTTGGTTGTCTTGTTTTAGGTAGCTTGTTCCTCATTAGTCTTCTTGGTCTTTCCATTGCCTTCTCTAAGAAAATGCAAGCCAGTTTTGTACTCGCTATGCTCCTGAGATAACTTAGTTTGCCTAACAAACAAGCTGATAAGAAAGCCAGCAAAGCTGACACAGGCATACAGGATAAACACCTTCTGCAACACATCCCAGTAGACAGCTCTAACAATCTGCTTTTGATCCGTAGGAAGGCCCGCAATCTTCGGGATACTGGCGGAGGCATCTTGGCCGTTGAATTCTGAGGCGAGTTGTGGGCCGATAGTGGACCTTAGACGGCTTTGCTTCGAGCTCATGACATTGTTAAAGATAACTCCGCCAATGATGACAGAAATAGAGGTACCAATTTGACGAGCTAAAGCGTAGGCAGAAACGGCAGGCCCAATATCTTGGGGCTCTATAGTTGTTTGAAGGGCGATTAGGGGCGCTTGAAAGCCGGTGCTAGATCCGAGTCCAGCGATGATCTGAAAGATGATAATCCGGTCCCAGCGAGGTTTGTCATCGAGATAGGTCAGGAGGCCAAGTCCAATGGTCATAATAAACAGACCACTAACAATGGGCCATCGGAAGTGTCCAGTTTTCTTAATAAGTATGCCAGCGCCTACCGAAAGGAACGAGGACGAAACAATGTACGGCAGCAGGTACACTCCAGACATGAGTGGGCTGGCTGCGAGCACAGCCTGGAAATACAGAGGCAACCAGTACGTACCACCGAGAAAAGCCATGGCATGCATGATACTCAAGCTATAGGCGGAGATACTGTTCCTGTAGCGGAAGATGCGCGGAGGAATGACAGGATAGTCGGCAAACCTATACTCGTAGATGTAGAAGAGTGTAATGGTAACCGTGCCAAACACAATGAGGCAGATAACTGTGGCGGATTTCCAGGCGTATTCAACACCGCCAAACTGAAGACCCATAAGCACCATGAGCGTGCCACCAATAACAAGTAGGTTACCAACCCAATCGACGGCAGCAAGGCCTTCTCTAAGAGGCGTGCGGGGATTGTGCAGCTTGAGAAAGAAGACCAAAACAGCAAGAGAAACCCCGCCAATGGGAAGGTTGATGTAAAAGCACCAACGCCAAGAAACTTTGTCTGTGAAGACACCGCCAATTACAGGACCTATGGCTGATGCCAAAGCCCAAACACTGCTTAGCAGACCAAAATACAAGCCGCGCTCCTGTAGAGAAAAGAGATCGGAAACACACATGTTAGGCAACGCAATAGCACCTCCACCACCAACGCCTTGGATAGCCCTGGCAGCGATAAGCATACCCATGCTTTGACTAATTGCACAAAGAAGCGACCCTAACAAGAATATGCTGACTGCGATGAGCAAAATCTGCTTGCGGCCAAAAATATCGGACATCTTTCCCCAAATGGGGACGATGGCAGCGTTGCCAAGAAGATAGGCACTACCAATCCAAACGTAACCAGCAGGAGCGTTAAACTGGTTGACAATGGTGGGGACAGCAGTTGTGATGATGGTAGTGTCCAGGGCGGAAAGGAAGAGGGACAAGGCGAGAGCACCCATGATTACTGTCGTCTCCAACTGGGTCCTGCTAGGTTCGGGCAAGTTGACGGAGTCTGCCGACTTGTCAGTGGACTTCTGTGTGCCTTTCCGACAGTCATGAGCAATCTCAAGGGAATATTGTTTTTGTTGAGTAGCATCATGGGTAAGAGTTTGGCTTTCGGTGTTGGCCATTGAACTATCGGGTTGGAACATGTAGTCCAGTGTCGAGTGTGTCATTATTTCGGTTTACCATGGAAGTAGTCCGTCGCTAGGCTGGGTGATGTGTTATAACATCTCTCGGACAAATCTCGTGCTTTTTTGTCAAGAGCTCGGACTGCAGATTGCAGAAGAAGTCGAGCTGATTGCGGAACTATACGTACATACAACCACCGCCTGTTGTAGGGAATACTAGCCAGTCGGGTGTCCTGCTATAACACGGAATATTTGATAGTTGACAGTTCTTTACCGAATAACAAAGGCTAGGCAACCCGGTAATACGGGGTTGTCTGACCAGTCTACAGGGTACAATGCTAGTCACCTGAGCGACTATCGGGCCGATAGAATCTATCGTCTGAACCTTGTTCGGGTAATATAGAAAGAATCTGGATACTCTAAGTAGTACCCGAATTCTGTAAGTAGACGGAGATTCTATTGAGAAGCTATCTGAAGTAGCGTAGTAAATCGTGGGTAGAGGGTAGGCAGCCTAATAGCTTAGCGAATACTTCTCCAAATCAGGTAGGAATTAGCTCATTTTAAACCTTAAAAATTCCTCTATAACTAACTAATATATTATTTAGTCTTACTCTAATAGTACTAGTGTTAGAAGTTAAAATGGATATTTTTATATTAAAACCTAACTAGCTATTATATATACTTAGTGCGTGTGATAACTTAGCTTATATTATTCTATCTACTACATCAAAGTATATATCTACTCTTCTTAATATATACCAACTCTACTACTATAGTAGCTTCTATAAAATAATTATAGTATTTACTTTATAGGAATAATAAGCCTAACTATTATATTATATAGCTTCAAAGGTATTTATGTTTAATAATACAATACTAATACGCTAGTACTAAGATACTATATAGTTAGACACTATAGTTAGCTAAAAGAAATATTAATTTTCAACTCTTCTATAAGGATTATAGCTATAAGCATATATAAAGAAAGTATTTAAGTATACACTATAATTTTATTAATCTATAGTTAAAGGTTATATATATATATGTTTATTAAAATAGAATATAAGCTTTTTAAAAGTTTAATTTCTTATTTAATATATGATTACTATAATTAATATTATATTAAAACGGCTAATACTATATTATTTAGATATTTTGTAGCTGATAGTTTAGCTGAATACTAATTATCTTTTTATATTCTCTATATTAAGATAAATTAGTATTAACGTATATTATAGAGTATTTATACTATATGTCTAAGAAATACCTTTATATAAATATATTTTACTATTTAAAAAGATTTATTCTATAGCTTAATAGTAATATAAGAAAGTAAAGTATTAACTATTAAATAGGAATTAAGATTAATATATATTTATTAACTATATCTATACTAATAGAAGCTTATAAAATTATAAAGGTTTTTTAAATATAGTAACTAATTCTTTATTTAATATAGAGAGAGCTTAAGTATAAAAGAATTTTAGATTTTTATTATAGTATTATATATAGAGAGACTAATAATAACTTAATACTTACTTAATATAAGAAGATATAGAATTACCATATAAAATGTTAGAAATTCAATTATTATATATTATTAATAAATTAATATAATTAAAAGTTAATATTTATCTATAATATATATAAATTTCTACTTAAAAAGGTAACATCTTATATTATTAATTATTTTTAACTTCTATATACTCTTATATACCTATCTCTTATAGCTTTATATAGTTATTAATTTTTTAATCTACTTAATAGAAATTAAGTAATTCTTAATATATAGAGATTTTTATTTCCTAGATATTTTATATTCTATATATATTTATCTTAATAACTAATATAATATTAAGTAAATTTAAATCTAATATTAGAATAGAATACTATAATACTCACTACTATAAGTTACTATAGATCTAGATAGTTTTCTCTAAAGCTTTAATATTAAAAGAAATATTATATAATAGCTATAATATAAAGTCTAGAACTAATAAAAGAAACTTAAATATCTAATATAGTAGTATAATAAAAAGAATATAAAAAGATTAAAAAAGGAATACTAAAGAAAGAAGTTAACTACTATAGCTATAAATAAGTATATAATAAATATTATACTCTGCTAATAGATATTAATAAATAAGAAAATGAATATTATATAATAAGTTTAATATAAAAGCTATATAGATAGTAGGTAAAACTATTTTACTAGTTAGAAATAACATTTCTATAGCTATATAACAATTATATAATTAAGAAAATATAACTAAATAGAAAGTTTTATAAATTTAAAGTATAAGAGAGTAATTATAGTATTATATAGAAGAGACTTAAAGTAGTAGTAGTTATAGTAGTAGTAGAAGTATTAGTAATAGATCACTACTTAAATTACTGTCTATAGCTATAATTAGTATAGTAAATAGATAGTAATATACTTTTCTTCTAAAGTTATTAACTAATTTTCTACTAAATTAAGATAAATAAGTAGTAGTATATTTTAGATAGCTAAATAGGTATATTCTATTATATAACACATTACTAAGCTTTATCTCTTTTAGTAAAAAAGATTATTTTTATAAACTTTATAAAGTTAAATAATTTTACTTTATATATTATTTTACTTAATAGTTTCTATAATAAGTATATTTTAATTAGATAGTTAAATTAATATTTATATAAGCTAGACTATAGCCTAATATAAATTACTTCTTAGTTTTACTAAGTTCTAGGTTTATAAAATTATTATTATACTATATATTATAAATAAAGTAATAACTATCTCTATAAAAAAAGAATTTATAATATAATTTAGAAATAGTTAATAGCGCTAGTATAAGTATATAATTAACTATTTAATAGCTTTTCTATACTTAATTTTAAATCTACTTATAGATTTTTAATCTTTTAATATATTATATATTATTAATAAGTTACTAAAAAGTTATAGAGACAATAGATTATAGATTTAAAAACTAGATATATAGTATTTATAATATTTATAATAAATATAAAGTAGACTTAAAGATAATTAAGTTTATTAGCTTTCTATAAAAGAAGCTTAAAGTCTTTAGTTAAGTTATTACTAAGCTTATATATATCTACTTATAATCTATCTTATATATTACTTAGTTATTTATAACTACTACTATTTATTCTTATATAAGCTATCTTTAAAGAAATAAAGTATCTTCTTAACCTCTCTACCTTACTTTATCTATAATTTTACTATCTAGTTTAGTTTCTCTAGTAGATAATTTTATTTTCTCTATTTAGCGCTAGTATTACTTAAGTTAGATAGAGATAATATAAGTTAAATGTAGAGAGAAGCTTTAGATTTTGGATACGGTGTTAATTATCTATCTTAACCTAGTACTCGCTTAGATATTTCACTATCTATCTACTACTTAGATCTACTAGCCTATACATAATATAAAGTTATTTAGTAAATACTGAAAAATCTATTTTAAATCTTTAAATATACTAGTACTTTATCTAATTTATCTTATAGTAATATATTTATTATTAATATTTAAAATCTTAATTTTTAAGTAGATAATTATATTAGTATAGTATTATATTTGCTAAACGATTATAGCTAGTAACTAAACGTAGTACTTTATAATAGAGTCTTTAGTATAGTAGAGATATCTCTATATTATAATCTCTAAATTATACATATCTTAATTTATAGTAGCTTAATAAGAGAGATTATTAGCTAATTTTATAGTTCTATAGTTAAACTTTATTTTTACTTAATATTATAATAATATAGATAAAATAGATGAAGAGATATCTAGAGTTATAGTAAAAGATAGAGACTTAAATATTATAAGATAGATAGACTAATAATTTTTAATCTAATAGAGCTAATCTTTTTACTCTAGAGTATTAGATACTAATCTCTTTCTAAACTTAATCTAGATTAGAGTATATAAAATAATATAAATAGATTTATAAGATATTTATCTAGTTATATAGTATAATAGTGTACTTAGATACAAGATAATAAGCATTTAATTAATATTTATCTATATTAAATTCACTAACAAGTATTTACATTATAAAGTTAAGTAGGAATATATAAAATATAATTTTTATTAACTATAATAAGAGTAATAATAAAATATATTTATCTTTATATTTGTATTACTTCTAGTTTTATAATCGTTTCTATTTTACTATAGTGGATTATTTATAATAGTACTAAGATTCTATTCTATACTACTATCTTAGATAGCGAGCTTTAGTGAGATCGTATATTACGTAACTTTAAGCCTTGTGATAATTATCTTATCTCTTAGAATTTTAAGTATTTTCCTAACTATTCATCGTTATACATAGAGAGAGGATCTTGCCTACTATTACTTACAACACTATTAGTATATTAGATGTAAACAAAGTTATAATATAGGGCTACAGAATAAGCTACTAATCTTCCTAATTAGGCAACCTTTGATGGAAATACTCGTGATTTGAAGATCCCGATGTGGAGACCTATTCACCACGTTACGTAACTTTGCGTGGGCCCAAAACATCTTTATTAGAAAAAAGAACCAGATAGGAAACTATAGTATATTTAAATAGAACTTGGTCTCTCGCAACGTCCACTAACTTATTTCTGTTGATTATCCTACCTATACTCTTCTACTGTTCTTATACATTGTTTTTATATCTACATTGATAAAAATGTCTTACCATCTCCTAAAAGACACACGACCAGCTGCTCTGGACGAAGTGAGCGTGCGCCGCCGGAAGATTTGTGTCTTCTGCGGATCGAGTAGCGGTGCCAATCCTGCATACATCGAAGCTGCTCAAGCTTTAGCCAGAGCATTGGCTGAGCAGGATATTGATCTCGGTATACTTTCTTCTAATACCTCTATCGAATATAATCCTCTGCTAAGACTATGAAACTACAGTCTATGGGGGGGGTACTATCGGCCTCATGGGCGAAGTAGCAAAAACACTCTGTTCGATCAAAGGGCCTTCAGCTGTCCACGGGATAATCCCTCAAGTCCTGGCTGAACATGAGCGCACTGACGGATATCGAATTACCAACACGGGGCTTTACCTTCCGGACGAATCCACATACGGTCGCACAACCGTAGTTCCGGATATGCACACTCGTAAGACAATGATGATGAAAGAGGTTCTTAGCGGTGGTCCTGGGAGCGGGTTTATTGGCCTCCCTGGCGGCTATGGCACCATGGAAGAGCTTTTCGAGGTTATCACGTGGAACCAGTTGGGGATTCACCGGCTGGGCGTCTGTTTACTTAACTTAGAAGGATACTGGGATCCAATCGTGCAGTGGGTGAATAGCGCTAGTAATAACGGATTTATAAATTCGGCGAACAAAAACATCATGGTAGTAGCTAGGGACCCAGCGCTAGCGATTGAAGCGCTACATAACTACAAGGTGTCTCCGGCTGTGTTTAAGTTGGAATGGGCTCACTTGTGATCTACGAGAGCTGGATTCATTATGATAGGAATTAGCATAGAATAAGTCATTTAGTTCTATCGTGTTTTACAAGCGAGCGGCGCACGCCGCCAACTTTGCATACTTCTCTCATCTTATCACACTATCGCTCCACGCAACGTCAATTAAATAGTATTAAATAAAGTAGATAGATAGCTTACTATCTTCTCTACAGTTAGTAGATAGATCTAAAGTAATAAATATACTATAGTACTCTATAGTATAGCTAAGATAACGCTCTATTACTAACGTGTTAGTAGGCTTACTTAACATAACTACTAGCCTAACTTAAAGAAGCTTACTTAGCTAGAAAAGTAGATAATAGTTAATTATATTCTTAATCTTAATATACGTAGACTTTCGCCTCCCTATCTAGCTATACGTAATATAGCTAATAGACTACTAACTACGCGTACTACTAGTTAAATTAGTATTTACTAGCTATATAACTTTATCTTACGTATAGATAGTCTTATAATATGTTATAATTAAGCGTATGATAAGTAGAGAGCTCTATATAAATACCTAGTTCTAGTCAAGAGCTAGTTTAAGTATATAGAGTAAGTAAAGGCTAGCTATAGTATCTAAAATAAGAACATCTCTAACTTTACTAAAACTAACTTTATAATAAATAAAATTATAACTTAGCTTATAATTATTTAATTAGAGAGAAGAGCATACCTAAGATCTATTGAGCTAGATATTTATAAGTTAATAATACTAATAATAATAGTTAATATAGTTATTAGAGCTACTATACTACTTTTTTTAAACTTTATTAATAGGTATTATTAATCTACTTACTATAAGAAGATTTAAATCTTATATAATTAGATAACTATAGATATTTCTAATATTTAAATAGAGGAATACTCAAAATTTAAGTAGTTATCTAAAAGATTTTATTAAGTATTACTTTAAGTAGGTCCAGAAGTTTAATTATATATTTTGTCTTATTCACTAATTTTAATAATTTATAAAGAAAGTAAAATAAATAAGTTAAGCTAATATTTACTATATATACTAATAGCTTATAAAGAAATAAATAGAGATATTTATTAATAATAGAATAATAAATAATAATATAACTCTAGACTATAGAATAGTTTTATAGAAAGCTTATACACTTAATTAATATATTAGTCTCTTTTATAAGTAGTATACAGACTACTAATACTAGTAATATCATCTCTTAATTTATATTCTATTATATTTATTGAGTAAAACGAAAATTATCTATAAAGTTTAAATTTATTTATACTCTGATAATAATGTATATAATAACCACTTTACTTTTATAAAGTTTTATAATAATTGTGTAATAGACTTAGAATTTACTAAGACAAAAACAGTAATTAGTACTATGCTATAGTCTAGTTTATATTAACTTCTATTAGATTATATAATAGCTATACTCTTATTCTAGCAACTATTAAATAATGTAATATCTAAGTTATATTATTTAACTTATATAGAGCTTAAATAAATAATACTTTTATCTATATTATTAAATAGATAAATATTATATCTACATAGTAATAGCTATATATCTATAAAAAGAAGTAGTATGATATATAGAATGTATGAGCGAGTTGTATAGCTTGTTAGAGAGTATAAGCTTAAGTCTAATATAAATATATATTTATAGCTTCTAGATAATAGTTACAGAATATATTTATAAAACTACTCCTAATATGTATCTAAATAGAAAGAAAAAAAAGTTAAATATTGATCTTTAGAGTAGATAAAGTAAGAAATAGATAGAGATAATTTTATAGTTCTTTTAGGATAGACTGGCTGTTAATAGAGAGATCGCTGCGGCGGCGGTAGAGTGGCACGCGCAGGTGTAGAACAGAGTCGCAGACATATCGCTCGTGTTAGCGCGTAACAGCATCGATAGGTTGCAGGCGTAACCGCATCGATTGGAAAAGCGGAGAATAAGTGCGCGCAGTTACTGTTTCACTTATTAGTTCTAGTAAATGTCTGAATTTTTTTCTCTCATAAACTTCGCTAAGAAAGGCCGGAGCTAAATTAGTTAGGATACACATATAACTTCTCCACTCACTAGACAGAGTACCTAGCCACTAAGTAGTAGTAGGCGCAATATTGTAACGGGCCGAACGTTCTTTAGATAGCTTCTTAATAGAATCTCTATCTACTCGCAGAATCGGGGTGCTACTTAGAGTATCCGGATTCTTCCCGTATTACCCGAATAACGTTCAGACGATGGATTTTGTCGGCCCGATAGTTGCTTTCTAACGGACTCTGTCATCTCCATCACTATCTAGACCAAGTGGCAAAAATTACGCCTGTACGCTGACCGATATTCCTGTAAACAGCTACTAACATTACCTATTCTCTAATCTCCGTCGCTTCGCTCGGAATTGATAGATGCAGCAATCTAACCGTGACTACTTAGTTCAGCCGGGCTTATGTTTATATGTTAAAAGGTAGTTTATTACCTAGTAATAGTACTATAAAGCCCCCGATAGTAGTTATTTCTCCCTTTCGTGCAAATGAACGACTGATTGTTTTAACTACCTAAGAAAACAACCCGATTCACTCAACATGAGTCATTCAACCGGACCCACAGCGTTTTCTGCAGCAAACCTTCCAGTCATAGATTACTCAAGAGTTAAAGCCTTTTTCTCTAACAAAACACCCGAGAATGTGGCGGAGAACGAGAAGCTCCTAAAGGCTGTCAACGATGTCGGCTTCATCTATCTTAAGAATCATGGTATTACCGACGATAGAATGAAGCGTCTCTTTGATTATGCGAAGGAATTCTTCGCTATGCCCGTCTCAAAGAAGGAAAAGATCGAGTCCTGTGAAAGCAAATTTTTCCACGGCTGGTTTTCGCCGGAGCGGACCTCGAAATCGGCAATCGCCGACCAGAAAGAAGCGTTTGATGTTGGCGATGATACAAACCTTGCCCGTCCTAACCAATGGCCCGAAAACTGGCCTAGGTTTAGGACTGACATGAATTACTTTTTTCAGAAATGTCACGAGATCCATGTCGATCTGCTAAGCACATTTGCAGAAGGCCAAGGACTGCCTAAGGATTACTTCAACCCATCTGTGGATCGAAAGGACCATTACCTCCGCCTGCTGCATTACCCGGCTACTACACCAGACTCGATAGGAAGTCGTCTGCGAGCCAGCCCTCACACAGATTACGGCACTTTGACGCTACTATTTAATGACAACAGTGGCGGCTTACAGATTCGCGCCAAGGATGGTCAGTGGTTAGAAGTACCCCCCCTCCCAGGCTACGCAATTGTCAATAGTAAGTACCTGTCTTTCGCTAGAGACGTGGTTTTTTGCAGTTCCCTAAATAACGAGCGAAATACTAGTTGGTGACCTTCTTTCTCGCTGGTTCAATGGTACACTCAAGTCCACCGAACACAGAGTTGTTCAGCCCCCAATTGATAAATCTAAGTTGGACGCTGAGGGAAAGCTCCCACCCCGATATGCTCTTGCGTGGTTTGGCAATCCAAACACAAATGCATGGATTGAACCTCTTACCTCTTGTATTGATGCAGAGAACCCTAAGCGCTTTGAAGGTGTATGGGCTGGTCAACACGTCGCAGACCGGATTGCCAAACTGCATAAGGATGGAAAGGCTCCAGAGTTGTGGAACGACTCTATGTATAGAAATAGGCAACACGCCGTGGTCTAGGCCAAAACCTTACGAATTCTTCAAGCTCAGCTATTTGTGTACAAGTCGCAAGTTCAATCGATTATTAGTTGAGTGCATCTAACGGAGGTCCCTTTCATAAGTTGTGTCCCGTCAAAAATAATTCAGCTAAAGTCTAGCCGCCATCTCACTTAGCGGTGAATGGGTCTCCAATTGAGTAGGCATGTCGCCCGACCGTGGGCGACTAGCGCTGCGCCATATAAAAAGCGCGATGCTTAAGATAGACCGCGTTAACCCACTATAATTAGCGCATCCTACATATTATGCTAAACGGAATTTTAGTCGGATAGCGCGTTTTATTCCTGTCTATCTACCCACTAGTTCGTAGTAGCTAGACTAGTTAATAGGTACCCCTCTACCTCTAGGTAGAGTAGAGGTTAAGCAATAGTCGCATAGACTTAGATAGAGGTTAGATAGAGTTAGATTAGAAAATATAACCTTACTTAACTTCTACTTAACTCTTAGTAACTCTATCTAACCTTTACCTAAGGCCTGTATAACCTTACCTAACCCCTACTCAAGTCTGTGCGACTATCGCCTAACCTCTACCCTACCTAGTTTAGACCTTATTTAGATATTAGTTGTGTTGGTGGCTCAGCCGTTATATAGCCTAATCAACTAATTTACTCTTATCTATACTATATAGAATAACTTTAGCTATCTTTAAGTTACGCTATAAAGATAAGTGTCTTTTTTAGCTAGAGGCTCTAGACTAGCTTAACCTCTTACGTATTTTTACTCCTCTAACTCTTTTCTTATCTTTCCCACTCTTCTTATTTTAATTTCAATATAACTACTTATTTTAATAGATTGTTAATAAGAAGTTCTTAATTATGTTTTTACTTATAGCTCTAAAGTATAACTATACTAAAGAAGTTCTTATATAGTTGTTTTTGGAAACTCTATTATTATACTATATATATACGCTAAGGCTATAACCAGCGTGTTATCTAATAGAGATTTAATAAAATTCGTATTATACACTACTACACTTAAACTACTCGGTTTACGCTTCTTCATTAGGATCTCCTCATCCCAACCCATCAACGATGAGCCATGCGATATGCTTTTGGGGAAGAGGCTTATAAAATGTGTTCAAGAGCGTTGCACCTCCCACCCGCAACGATGTTTCGACGACCTCCGCTTCCCTTACACGTACGTACCCCAGACCCGTTCTACTATGCATGCAAAGATCTCCTCGCTACACTAACCTTCTCCACACTTCTCCAGCTTCCTCAAGGACAAACATTATTCAGGACTTACTCCACAACACTATCTCGCACACCCCTTGTAACGAACCATTTAAAAAAAAAGGGAGGTATGGGGGTAATATGCAATGTGAAAAAGGACCGTCCCGCCAAATACTGGCAACTAGCGCCCTTAGTTTACCAGAGCTGTGTGTGGTTCGCGGCCCCCCAGGTCTAGATCTGTGGCTTTTTTTTGGTTGGGCGCAAAGCGAGATATGTGTGGGCATGGGCCAAGGGGTTGCGAGGTTTCTATTTTTGTGTTAGGGTTTATTGGAATTTTGGGAAGGTTTGTAGGATCGCTTTTGATGGAGTTGGTGGGGGGATAAGGAGGTAGGGAGGTAGGGAGGTAAGGGGAGGGACTTGGTGGGCATGTTTGCATGTGGTGTCGGATTGATAAATGCGGGTTGAAGGGTTTGGGGGGTTTGAAAGATTGGGTACGGGCAGGAAGTGAATCAACTCGGCTGTAGAGTTGTGAGTATGGTTCAAGTTGATGCATTACTAGTACAGCAGTTCGAGTCACTGCAAGGCTACTCAATCACTCGCATTTGACCGTTTTCTCACAATGTGGGATCAGGACGACGATCAGTTGCTTACTCGCTCTGTGCGGCTTCCTCTTGCAAAATAGTCTTAAGACCATAGGAAGAGGTAACTGCCAAGTCGGTGTCAAGTATGTAGGACGAAATGTGCCAGTGAGACCCATTGGCTCCAGGATTGCTTGAACATTCGCCACAGAGACTAGCAACGTTGACACTGATGAGGAAAGAGCAAACTCCACCAGGGTGGCAACACACGAATAGAGTAAGATGTCTTTACCCGCAAACCGCCAATCTCACCATCTCGCACATCGAAAACGGGTATATCAAGCGGAAAACTCCACTATCATCATCGCCTCCGAACACCCATTTAGCCTACAAAATCCCTAGACCGCAGCAGTGGGTCCCGAAGAATCAAGCCTTGCTGCATCTCACGCAGAGATTGCGCTAAAGATTTGCCCCCCAGGACGCCTCGTACCTGCACGCACCAAGGTGGAGATCAGCCCTACAAGTGACCCCGTTGTTACTAAAAACCTTGGCTCCGGCGAGAAAAGGCTAAGATAGATACATGGGGCGGGCGGCGGCAAAGCGGTGGGGCAATGTGTTCGCCATTTTCAGATGGGGTTCCTGACAAAATAAAGAAGGTTATGGGATTTTTCGCGGAATTCCTACTCCAGATGGTGGGGAAGGGGGTTGCAGATGGAGGTGAAACTGGCAGTGCAAGGTGTCAGTGTCAAGTTTGTTTGCGGAGACAATGGTGTGGGTAGGTAGTCGACATGGTGACAAAGAACAGTCAGTCATCCCTTTGGATGCTGCACAAGGGCCATTACGGCCACATGTTTCTTTCCAAATATTGTCTAGAATTTGTTTCTGTATATGAATTTGTCCGCGTTTGATACTGATTGATGATGGGTAATCTCGGATGTCTCTGGAAGGAAATACTGGCAGTGAGCAGGTGACTGTTGTTCGGTGGGATAGCACAATGTAAGTCTCGGATTCCGAAAGCAGGCGGTGACAATGCACCGAAGGTGTGCAAGTAGGCTGGGCAATTATGCCGTGGGGTAAAGGACAATCTAGTATGTAATAACTCCGATGGGTGCATACGTATCCAGACCATGCACATGGGCTTGTGGAAGGCCATGTTATGGTGGCATCATATCATCCATGTGCTCAACGAAATAAGGCTGGAGGGCGGGCAAAAAGCCGATTGGGCGTGGTGAAGGGCAGGCATGTGGGCGACACAACGTGTTCAGTGAGACGAGTCGAGGGAATGACCATGACCCGGGGCGGCGGGACATGCAGCGAATGCCGGGGGGGTAGGAAGCAGTCACGAGGCATGTCGAGCCAAGAGATGTGAATAATGGACAAGGTGTTTTTGGAGCTTGGATGAAGGAAAAGAAAAAAAGGAGTATGGCACGGACGCAGTCGGATACGGGGGGGAATGGGGGGACGCGTAAGTAGCGAGTATTGGAAGCCGTGGGGAAGTCCGCAAAGGCTATTGGGCCGTCTGGGGGTAATTGCACACAGTCTCAAACGGGCATCGTGAAGACGAGTGTTGTCGGGGGGTGGATGGGTGGGATGCTTATTGCTTGGTAGCCAGAGGCCCTGTGCTTTCCGCGAACCCCAATGTCGCGCGTGATGCTGGACACGGGGCGCGTGCGAGTCCAGACGGCGGGTTGCACACAATATGCCGAGACGATTGCGAGCTCCTGCCATGTTCGAGGTGTATTTTCCGGCCCAGTCCCGCTGTTGGCATGGCCGGGGCCAGGGGAGGGAGGATGCGGTGAAGCAGAGGGGGGAGCACTGTCAAGCAGGAGTGTTGCATGTTGCTTCTTCATCCTGTAGCCGCCCTCAACACATGTAGGTACTATTAGCATGCACATGCGTATGGAGACAAGTGGAAGGGAGGAGTAGATGGGTGTATAGACTATCCCAAGACGTGGCATGGTGTTGCAAGAGGTGGATCCCCGCGGCGGGCCAGTATCAGTGTCGGGTGGCAGCGTGGGGAATGGATCACCATGGCAGCTTATCTGGGGGCCGGGTAAGCATAAGCAAGCTTGCTCACAGTGCAGGTATTTTGTTTTTGCTTTCTTTCTCGAAGCCGCCAAAAGTGGGATTTGGGGCTTCGAAGGATGGGAAGGATGGGCGCTTGCAAGGCCCCCCTGAAATGGGCCCGTCTCGGCTTGTACCGACTAAGTAGTCCCGGTGGCAATTGACGTCGTAGCGCCAGAGAATTGGAGTCGTCTAGAGCAGCGGCGACAAGGCCGGAGGGGCGGTGTCGCCGCCGCTCTCTTTGCCGATCTAATAATAATAATGGGGAGGGTGAGGAGCATGCAGGCCAGGTGCAGCACGACTGGAGCACTGGCGGGGATGATGTGCTGCCCAGCGATACCGCATGAGGCTCAGCTGCAGGGCGCACAGCGCAGATCCCTTTGGTGGCCGTTGTTCGCATTTTGGGCCATGGCATTGCACATGCGCACACACACACAAGTCGGTGAACGAGTCGCGCTGCCATTTGTCTGCCCTATCTCTCAACGCAATCCCTAGCTGCGTCGGATGCTCTCTGGTGCTTCCGCTTTGAGACGCCCTCCCGTCCCAGCTGCAGCCCATCGACAAGGCCATGCTACTTACTATGCTGAGCCCAGGGCAGGGCGGCCAGAGCTGTCGCTGTCGCAGTGTCGTCGCCGCCCATGGCATTGTGCTGCACGCCATGGCAACGCCAAGCGCGGCCTGGCAATGTGATGCGGTCAACAAGAGCTACAACACCATGTATGGCTGCTGCAGCCACGGGCATGAGTGATGAGTGCAGTACAGTACCTACCTAGTCCTATTGTTGCTATCCTCGTCTAACCAGCCATGGGCGCGAGGCGAGCAAACTCACACCCTCCCCCACGCCATGCCACGCCACGCCACGCCCCACGCCAATAACCTCCGTCCTCTAGCTGTATCCCTATCACCACTTCTCAACTAAACACCTCGACATACACACTAGAGAGCGGCAAGCCACAGCCTTCTGTCAGTCGCATCGCATCACTCGACCCACGCCCCGCGTCATTGCACATTCTGCTTCTGATCGCACAAAATCGCCAGCAAGCATCAGCACTACCCTAGCTCACCGGCCCAATTGTGGCTCCTTTTCACTCTCTTCACACCGCGGAGGCGGCAGCTGTAAAAGTCTGAAACTTTTATCCAGTCTAAAAATTGGGGCTCCGTTCCAAGAGACGCGTCAAAGGCCACAAGAAAAAAAAGCCTAATCGTCCGGTACCAGCCCGCCAAACTGTTCCTGCGCACCGGTCACCTACCCCCTTGCACGTACCCATCCCAGCTCGCCACCCACCGCCCACCGACACAACACAATCCAAGCCGCAGCACCCGTCCCCCCGTCTCCCCACCCCCCCTTCCTTTGGCGACTGCCCACGTTTCCCGAAGCACAGGCTATCAGCCTTCGTTTCCCGACTCAGAATCCACCATGTCTAGACCCTCTGAAAAAATAGGGGCCCCTACATACGCTATGGCGACTTTTTTTTTCCCTGGCACCATGCTTACGAGACATGTACACTCGAGCCCACAAAAAAAGACTGAGTATTCTCTTTATAAGCCATTGACCCTCAGCCTTTGTTCGTTGCACATCCGTATCTTTTCTTCGTACCTTTTACCTACGTTACTCTTGCACACATAGCCATGCCTCCCCAAATCCCAAGGAACCTCCTGCGAGCAGCCCGCGCTCGGGCTGTCTTCCAGTCCACCAGGCCCTGCCACCGCGCCTCTCCCATCAGATTCCAGTCCACCGAGGCTGTTCGGCAAACCCCCTCAGAGGGCAAGCCCATCTACAACGCCCCACCCAGGGAGTTTACTCACCGCAAAGAGGAGAAGATCCCTTCCTCCGCCTCGACACAAGCTCGTCGCGCGGTAGCATCCCCTCTTAAGCTCAACACCCAGAACCTTGCACAGCTCCAGAATGTCTCCATTCCCACCTACAACCGACAAGGTGTCAAGCAGGGAATCGTCCACGTTGGTGTTGGCGGTTTCCACCGCGCCCATCTTGCTGCTTACGTCGACACGCTCCTCGAGCAATTCAACGTACAGGACTGGTCCATCTGCGGTGTTGACCTTCAGCCATTCGCCGCTCCCATGCGCGATGCCCTGAAGCCCCAGGACAACCTCTACACCATTATTGAGCGCGCCGCCGAGGGCAGCAGCGCCCGTGTTTGCGGTGCCATTACCGACTACATGTTTGCTCCCGATAACGCCGAGGCTGTTGTCGCCAAGATGGCCCACCCCGACACTCACATTGTTTCCATGACCGTCACCGAGAGCGGCTACTACATGAACGAGAACACCCACGAGCTCCAGATCGACCACCCCGACGTCGCCGCCGACTTGGCTGGTGGACAGCCACCCCGCACCGTCTTTGGTTACCTCTACGCCGCCATGGCCCGCCGCCACGCTGCTGGTCTCCGACCTTTCACCGTTCTTTCTTGCGATAACATGCAGAAGAACGGTGACATCAGCCGTGACATGCTTGTCTCCTTTGCTCGTCACTTCAACCCCGAGGTTGCCGAGTGGATCGCCAGCAACGGCGCTTTCCCCAACTCCATGGTCGACCGCATCACTCCCCGCACCAATGAGGAGGACAAGATCAGCCTTGCCCAGCAGTTCGGTGTTGAGGATGCCTGGCCAGTCGTCACCGAGCCCTTCCACCAGTGGGTGCTCGAGGACAAGTTTGTTGACGGCCGCCCTCCCTTTGAGAAGGCCGGTGTCCAGATTGTCCCCGATGTCCACAAGGTCGAGGAGTACGAGATGATCAAGCTCCGTCTCCTCAACGGATCCCACTCTGCCATGGGCTACGCCGGTCAGCTCGCTGGCTTCAACTACATCCACGAGGTCATTGGCCACCCCGTGTACCGCCAGTTCATCATCAACATGATGCAGCAGGAGGTTAAGCCTCTCCTCCCCCAGATCCCCGGTGTCAGCGTCGACGACTACTGCAACACCCTCCTCGGTCGTTTCTCCAACCCCACCCTCAAGGACGAGCTTCCCCGTATCTGCCTCGGTGGCAGCGGCAAGATCCCTCAATTCATCATGCCCAGCATCGCTGAGCAGATCATTGCCGGTGGTCCCCTCCGCCGCCTCACCCTTGTAGCTGCCGCCTGGTTCCGCTACAACAACGGTGTCGATGATGCAGGCAAGGCCTTCAAGGTCGACGACCCCATGGTCGAGGAGCTTCAGGCCCACGCTGCACAGGGCCCCATGGCTCAGCTCAACATCAAGAGCTTGTTCGGTGACGATCTTCGCAACGACAAGCGCTTCGTTGCCGAGCTCCAGACTGCTCTCGAGGGTCTCGAGAAGCACGGCGCCATGGCCATGATTGAGAAGTATGCTTAAGTGCAAATGATTTTACAAGGAAAGAAAGAGATACCCATTATCGTCACGACACTTTTTTATTCTTTTTTACTTAGAATCCAAGGATCACCAATGGGATTGGGAATGGGAATGGGAAACGGCGGTACTACTTGCAAGGAGTCCACACACAACATGCGAAGAGCGGTGTGTTGTGTTTTTTCGTTATCAACATCACTTTTGGGGCGTTTGTTCGTTTTTCTCGTGGAAACCAAAAAAGAAAGTTAGAGCGTTTTTTTCTGTCTGGCATTGCATCTACTTTATCATCTAGCAAGCGATCTTGTTTTTCTCGAGCCTTTCTTCTTCCAAGCACATCAGACATAGAAGACTTTTAATTCAAGAAGATGCAACTTTTTACTTTGACCTTCAATTGAAATGTGATGGATTTCTTTTTAATGTTCTTGCAGGATGTAAGAAATGAGTTGTGACGTAATTAGGAATTACCTATAGGATGTCAGTCATAGAAATACTGTAGTTAAAGTCTTTGGCCAACGCAAAGTAAGCAAAGTGGAACTTCGAATACGTCATCCTTGCTCAGATAGCTACCATGCATACACACACTTGTCTTCTCGCCACAGCACGATGAATCCAAGCTTTATCACAGAATGTCGTTTTCGCAACTCACATCTCTCTCCTGTCTCATCACATTCCACAATCTTACTCCTACAGCCAAGGACACCCTATCAATAACATTTGCATCACCCATCACCACTGTCCAAATCTTGCACACCAAAGTCACAATCATATCCAGACAGCATCCAACACAAAATTTTGCATCCCAAATTTTCATTATTCGCAATATCTTCATAAAGACAAGCGTACGAACAGTCAAAGCGCTCCTCAATCACCCCTACTTTACAAACAGTTTCCATCATCATCTGCATCCCTAACCTCCATCCTTCCCCTACTTTCTCATCTCCTCTTTCCCACTTCACAAACACACTCTCAATATACCCTGTTCATTCCACTGTCAGCAACATTCTCACCTCATCTCCTTTTTCCCTTCAAACCACACAAGCACAGTCCACTTACCAAAAAAACTGCTATTGGCACGGCGACGAAATCTGCCTCCACCCACCCGTCGTACAAGTGTACAAGATGCCACCAAAGCAAAGTGGCGATCCTCGATTTCCATCTCCACAGATAGCCTGGCGCTTGGTGAGGGCGGCACCAGTGAGGTCGGCGGTTGGGGCTGCGAGGACGAATGTGGCGCTAAGGCCGAGGGAGAGTAATGTGAGGAATTGCATTGTCCGGTTATTTCTTCTTGGTATGTGATATGTGGTGGTGGTGGTGGTGGTGGTGGTGTTTGAATTTGTTGTACAACGAGAAGAGGGAGACTGATGGATACGTGGAAGGGGCATGAAGTATATATACACGAACAAGGTATCCACAACAACGACTAAGGTACTCGTACACAAAAAGCTTACGCTTCCTTCGAGAATCGCTAGTTGCTGTAATTGCAAAGCGCGTGGTGGATCCAAAGGTCCGAATAACAAGAGCTACAAGCAGCTTGGCTCATTATGAGGGAAAATGGACAGGGGGGGGTCCGCTATCGCAGTACACAGTAAACCAAGTCCATTCAGTTGTTTCAATCTTGTCTGATAAACATATATACAAATCATTCGAACATCTACTCTTGCTTACTGTTCTACATACTATACGCTTACCCCTACCCTACACCCAAACTTTCACCACAACGATCTACGCGAAAACAAGCCAAGAAAAAAAACAAGTGACGCAATCCAAGAAAAGCCAACAAGATAACGCAAAAAACCTAACCTTTTAGTAAATTACATTGTACCGCTGAGTAAATCCAGACTCGTATCTACATGGCTACTTGTATGCGCCCCCCCGAAGCTATCCCGAAGCCCTAAGCCCCAAGCACCGCCCCTAAAAGCGCTGATCTATACTTTCCCCTTTCCCTTCCATCTTCTCAAAACTCCCTCACAACAACGTCAACCTACTCCCCAACAAACTTCATCACTCTCCATCCCACAGCCATACTCCACATCATACACTATTTTACCAAAAAGAAAAGAAAAGTAAAACTGCCTCTACAATCCGCACAGCCGCACCTATTAGCACCACAGACCCACAATAGGCTGACGTGAGATTTATACCCCCAAAAAAGCAAAGCTTCGGACGGGTATCTTGCTATAACTGCCGCATGTAGCATAAAGTAGGGCGGAGGATAGTTAGAAAGGAGGGGGGGGGGGTGACTAAAATCTTACGAAAGACTGTACTAGGGAATCTGGAATGAAGATTTACCCTGGATAAAGTAAAAGCGATTTTACTGCATATATAAGCAGTAAGGAAAGAGGCTAATGAGGAAGAAAGAAACAAAGAAGAAATTAGGGGTTTGTCCGGTTTTACACATGTCTTGGTAATAGTTTGGTACTTGGATGGAAATTTTACATGGGTTACCTCTTTTTTCGAATTGGAGGCGATGATGGTGTACCTTTTATTACCAATAACAAGAGGAAGATGGCCTATTGTTATTCATTTCCTACTCCATCGGACTTTTTAATTCTATTTTTCGAAGACAGAAATAGTATGACACGTCTTCTGCAACCACACCATCATCACGCTGAGCTGTTTCACGCTTATATAGTCGAATTATGTGCCTATGTCTTTGCTTAATTTTGCTAAACGAAGCGTCAGGGAGAAATTTAAACTCCGAACCACTTAGTATTCTAAAACCCTGGTATCATTAACCCATGTCCCCTTTTTTTACGTCGATTACTTCATTTATCTCCAATATCCAAGTCTACTTCATCACTAAACACACCTAACTCAGATATGCTGCCAATGCCTGCTTCGAAGTATCATCAAGTCGCTCCTGCACAATCTTGACAATGCGGCCTCCGTGACGCGCATCTGCGTCCTTGAGATACTGACTGACCCACTGCTTGACATCGGCAATCTCAGGAAATGGGTCACGAGGTGCCTTCTTGCACGTGTTGAGTTGTGTGAAGCCAACACCAAAACCAAGCTCATCGACGTCAGCGTCCGGGATAATATCGTCCGCGGCTGTGGGGACGGGTGGATTGACCAAGAGCTCAATCAACCGCTGAGTCGTAAGTGTCCAACCCTTGGGGTATCGATCGACAAACGCTTGCGAATCACCAAGCGTCTTGGTAAAAGATACCACGGCAGTTTTGCGGTCAGTGGGACGTGCAAGTTTCTGAGTATCGGGCAGGATGACCGTCAAGTAGATGGGTTTGAAAACACTATTGTAAAGTTAGCGACCGTATCAATATCTTAACAAGCGCACGACTTACTCATGCTGAATCTGGTCAGTGACACTGATGAAGAAATCAGTGCCAAGTCCCTTGTCCAGTCGGGCCGAGACAAAGTGGTAAAAGGCAATGAAGCGCTGCTGGAAGTTCTCCGTCTTCATGTTGGACAACCTCGTCAGCATCAGCTGGAGAATAGTGACAAAGTATGGCTGGAGAGCATCGGCTGGGATATTGGCCACAACCGACTCGATGAGCTCAAACGAATAAGTCTCGTGTGCCTTGCTGGTAACAAGCTTTTGGAAGATACCCAGAATGGGTTCCAGGTGCTTGTTGGCGACAATGTGCTGGGAATCACGAGACACCATGGCGCTGAGGAGACGGGCCAATGCAGGTACGTTACCACGCTGCTCCCAGACCGCACCCTGGATGATGATTGCAAACAGGCTTCTGTAGTATTCGCTGAGCTCGCCAGAGGGGTTCGCTTCGAGCAATGCAGAGAATATTTGGAAAATGTAGGGAGAGAACTCCTCGACATTAGCCTGCAGACAAGCCGCAAACGGCTCATACAGCTTCTCCTCGAAGAACTGAGGGTGCTTGGGCGCACCAAATCGGACGAGCGCGCCTATTCCCTCAAATAGGTAGTACTGGAAGCGGGGATTGCTGGGGTTGTGCCTGATGACTTTGACAATATTGATGAAGTTCTGGAGAACTGTTTCACAGATTGGCAAAACGCCATCGCGCACGAAAATGAGCACACGCATGACACACTTCATCAGGAACTCATTTTCTTGAATCTTTTCAGGGGCAGAGTTCTTGGTGATGAGCTTGAACAAGTGCGCCAGGAGATCCTTGGACGACGCCACCACGTCGGCCTTGGGGATGATGGGCTGTCGGTTGGCGTCGGTCATGAACAGAGCACGTTCTACAGCAATAGCTGCATATGTGTGGATGACATAGTTTTCGTCGCCTAGTTGGTTGACAAGCAGCGGGAAGGCAGCACGCCACAGGTCGGGTGACAGCTGACTGCGGAAGACGTAGAGGAACTTGATGGCGTCGACTTTGAGGATTGGTGAGGCACCTTGCGCTTGCAGATCAGCGGCAATGTGGGCTTGGAAGAACTCGAGAATGTTGACATTTTCGTTGACGCTCATTACACCCTGACCAGCGGTCGCGGTACCCTTTGCAGCAATAGCAGTGAAGAGGTAGACTGCAGTGTCCTTGGACTTCCAGTTGTTGGCAGTGTCCTTGGCATAGTCCTGGAGGTAGGCATCGATATAGGTCTTGGAGGTGCTCGTGACAAGTCCTTCAAAACGAGCCATGAGTTGGCGCAAGAAGTTGGTCGCAGCGCGTCTGCGGGTATCGTTGTCTGAACCCTCAAGATCTCTCCTGATGAACTCAATCGGCTCGTCCTCGAAGAGTTCGATATCAGATTCGCGCAATGTCAGATTGGGCAGAATGACCTTTTCAATCACCTGGACCAAGACATCCTGGTTGTTAAAGGCGGTGGCGTGTTGTGTCGAGGCGACTGCGGTGAGGAACTGGAGCGCCTTGCTAACCAGAATATCGTACTTTGTCTCTAGCCCAACGGACATTAAGAAGCTCCAGGTGCTCTCGATGAACTGACCCAGATGCGGGCCGAAAACATCTTCGTACTTTTGGATGTAGAGCATGAGGGCTTCGAAAATGCCGGCGCGTACATACTCCTGCGGTCCCGACTCAGTGTCGTCGTCTGTGTGTAGGGAGGGGTTGTCGTAGGTGAGGTACTTGTGGAGAAGTCCTGAGATGACGGTGATGTGGTCTTCAAAGACGGGAGGCAGGTCCTGGCATGAAAGATCATAGAACAGCTTGATCAAGAGATCGAGCGTGGTAAAGGCATTCTTCAGTGTCTCGGGGTTGCCCTGCGAGTTTGTGATGAGGGCGTCGGTGTTTTCGAGCAGCTGGAGGAAGGGTTGGCCGAACTTGGACAGGACGTGGTTGATCTCGGTGAAGAGATCGTCGGAGCGGAAGAGGGGCCGCCATCGCTTGAAGATGGAATGTGCGACTTGGAGTACGCCGTTGTTGACGACGGTGTTGTCGGGGGTGAGGCGCGAAATCAGATCGTCGACCAAGGTGTCCCATCTCTGCCAGAAGTCGCTGTCTGCAATGGCGCTGATGGCCTCACCAAGCTGGGCCTGCAGACTTGCTGGCACTGAGACCATGAGACCTATGAGCTCTCTCTTGATTGCGACGACCTCATCCTCGGGCAGCTTGTAGTTGCCGTCTTCATCGACCCAATTCCGCTTTATGAAGTTCTTGAAGTAGAGCGCGGCGGCTAACCGTGTGGTCTGCGGGTTGGCGTCCGAGGCGACAATCTGGAGGAGGGTGAGGGAGAAACCGGGCTTGGTTTGTTCCTGGGCAATGGCTGCTTCGGCTGCGAAAAGTGAGTATGGTGGGAGGCGATGGAGGGGTGCGGTGAGAGGAAGTGATGCAGCCACACACGGCGCAGTCGTGCGGATACACTTATTCTGTATCATCTACATAGTGCGGACAGTTGAACCAATGCGCATTGCTTTGGCTGTCTACATGCTGCACTATGGTAAGGATTGAGATAAACAAAAGACGGTACTTACCCTGCTTGTTCTGGCGGGGGTCCAGACTGGCCTGGAGAAGTTGTGAGAGAGTAGCCATGTCTGTGGCCATAGTGAAGAGAGCGGAACACGGGAGTAGCAAGACACAGGGGGGCGACGAACGGGCGAAGGCGAGGCAAAGGGCGACGAGGAGAAAAAAACACCACGACAAGTGTTTGGCCGTTGGTTGCTGTTTGGGGCCGGCCACCCACTTTACTGCGCTAGTGGGCGGGAGCTTTGGCGCGCGGAAGAGACAGGGATTAGGTACCCCAGACGATGATTTTCAGCCTGCCATAGTCTGCTCTGCCATGCCATGACAAGACGCCCTCCCTTCCTCTCTCCTCCGCTCCTCACGCCCCTACGACCCTCTCACACCACCGCCGCCCCTTGGCCGAGCCCTCT